TATCCTGTTGGCCACGTGTCCGAGCTATTTTTCGAGGTCAACAGTTCTCAAGCAAGTTTTTTTTTCTTTTTTATTTGTTAGGCTCACGGGCCTGCCCATCGAGATACACGAGCTTCGGCTCGACCCCATCGAGCCACGAGCCGACTCGAGCTTTTTTCGAGTCGACGAGCCATCTTGCCATCCCTATGTAGCTCTCTCTCTTTTTGTAGATGCTTCTTGTCTAGAAAAGGTAGATGTGAGATCATTGGGTTAAATTCATCGATGGCCACCAAACTTTATACTTGATGTCACCATGGCTACCCAATTTAATTTTGTTTCACCATGGTCACTCAACTTTATACTTAGTGTCACCATGACTTCTCAATTTGATTTTATTTCACTAAGGCTATCAAATTTAATATAACGTTTCACTAAGACTACTCAATTTCATATAATATTTCACCTTGACCACTCAACTTTTTTTTTATCATTCTCATTAATTTTAAAAGGGGTAAAAATGTAACTTTGCATTATATATATATAATAAATTAAAATAAAAACTTATAAAAAAATTTTTTAGAAAAAAGTTACTTAAAACAATAAAATAAAATAAAAACTTAGCCCATGTTTGCTTCACATTTTTTTAAGGGAAAAATGAATAATTTGATCCATTTTTTCAAAAAATTGGGTCCCACTATTACACAAGGTGGTCAAATATTTCGGTTGATGAAAAATCCAACAATAAAATTTCTTCTACAAATGGGAAACTAACATGGGCTTATTTTTTAAAAAAAAGTTACTTTGAAAAATAAAATAAAATAAAAACTTATTTTAAACTAAACATTTGAAGTTTGTTTTTTTTTTAATTTATTTTGCATATAATGCAAAATTACCCCCTTTTAAAATTAATAAAAATGGTAAAAAGAAGTTGAGTGGTCATGGTGAAACGTTTTAAGAAATTGGGTGGCCTTGGTGAAAGAAAATCAAATTGGGTTATCATGGTAACACTAATTATAAAGTTGAGTGGTCATAATGAAACAAAATCAAATTAAATGGCCATGGTGACACCAGTATAAAGTTGGGTGGCCACCAGTGAATCTAATCCAGATAAATTTTCCAACTTTGTCCTTGTGGGCCTTCATTGGTGGAGATTGCAAATAGGCAAATTATGTTTAAAATTTTGACTTATGTGCTATTTTGTGGGGAAGAAGAACAAGAGCAGAAAACGAGAGAGACCATTTCTAATCTCTATTTTATCCATCTAAGGGTTAAATTCATTGGTGGCCACCCAATTTTATACTTGGCGTCACTATAACTACCAAATTTGATTTTATTTCACCATGGCCACTCAACTTTATACTTATTGTCACATGGCTACCCAATTTGATTTTATTTCACCAAGTCATCCAATTTCATATAATATTTCACTATAATCACTCAATTTCATATAACATTTTACCATGCCCACTCAACTTCTTTTTACCATTCTCATTAATTTTATAAGGGGTAAAAATTTAACTTTACATTATATATACAAAATAAATTTAAAAAAAAACTTATTTAAAAATAAAAAAATAAAAACTTATTTTAAAAAAAGTTACTTAAAACAATAAAATTAAATTTTTTTAAAAAAAAAGGTACTTAGAAAATAAAAAAAAAATTAATTTAAAAAAAAAAGTTTTTAAAATAAAATAAAAACTTATTTTTTTAAAAAAGTTACTTAGAAAATAAAATAAAATAAAATTTTATTTTTAAAAAAGTTCTTTAAAAAAATAAAATAAAATAAAAATGTATTTCAAAAAACGTTTTTAAAATAAAATAAAACTCATTTTAAATAAATGTTTTCAAAAAAAAATTTTTTAAAGTATTTTATATATATAATACAAAGTTACTGTTTTACCCCTTCTAAAATTAATGAAAATGATGAAAAGAAATTGAGTGACTATAGTGAAATATTATGTGAAATATTATATGAAATTAGGTAGTCATAGCGTAATGTTATATGAAATTGGGTAACAATGATGAAATAAAATCAAATTGGATGTCTATGGTGACTATAAAATTTGGTGATCATGGTGGATTTAACCCAAAGATGGATAGTTCTCTATTTGTTTTTATTTTTTTTTTATCTTTTTAGTTTTATTTAATTTTTTGATAATTTTATTGGGAAAATATAAAATTATAATTTTTCTTTTATAAGATTAATCAAAATGTGGTCAAATTGATTTTTTTTGGGTTGACTAATGGAAAAATTGACAAAAAATGGACAAAAGGACGGATTGTGCAATCAAATGTGTAGTTAATGATGAAAATGTCAAAAAATAAAAGGTAAGGACGTTTTGTACAATAATATTAAAAGGTAGGGACACTCGTACTAATTACTCTTTTTTATCTAAAAAAAAAAAAAAAAAGAGGTATTCTCACGGCATGTAGTTTTTATTTGAAATGTCTACTTATTTGGACTCCATTTTAACGAGATTTTAGAAAAAAATTATTTTGGAATAGTAATTTTTTAAAAAATATGAGTTTAAAAAAGAAGAATTTTTTTTGACTTTACGTGTAATATTATTTTATTGAAAAATGTGTGATCGAAAAGAAGCAAGAGAAATCTAAAACTTTTCATTCTTTTTTAACTGCACGTTCTTTAAAAAATCTCTATTTCAAAATACATTGTTCCTCAAAATTTAATTTTAATGCAGCCCAAACAAATGCAATATTTTTACTTGAAAGATTTACAAATTTAAAATATTGAATATTCCGTTTTGTGATTCAAAATTGATTAGCAAATTATTACTTGTTAAACTCCAATACACAGCAAACATAAATTAAAATTTTCTAATCGTAACTAAACGAACTCAAGCTTTAGGGTGAATCCTAATTCATAAAGGGGATGTAGCTCAGATGGTACAGCGCTCGCTTAGCATGCGAGAGGTACGGGGATCGATACCCCGCATCTCCACTTTCTATTCCATGTATTT